CGAGTCTGTGTCGGGGACTGACCCCGCTTTCTCCACTAGCCTAACAGCACTGTGTTGTCCTTTGAGATGTTTAGATAGATTTGAAGTTGAACTCTTAGCGGTTGAAAATCTTTTGTCTCCCGCACATAAGACACACTGTACAACTATGTTTTTGCCCTTAGTTTCAACAAATTTAAAATAATGTTTGTATTTCCACACGTAAAAAGCACCCTTTTCTCACTCCGGTGGTCTCTTCATGCTGCAGTGTTTGTGTGGCTGCGTCTCGGATTGATGACGTTACATAGCGCAGCGCGTGGCTGCTTGATGATTTTTGCAACTGTATTTCATTATTATTATTTTTGCAGAAAACTGGCTAATCTGACGTCTTCAATGCAACACAATAGTAACGACGCGTTAGTCGGGTAGTAACTAAAATCTGATTACTGCCTTCTACAATGTAACGCCGTTAGATTACTCCGTTACTTAAAAAGTAATCTAATTACTTTAACGCGTTACTGCCCATCACTGGTGACGTCACACCTCTCACCCCGATATACTCGCCTCCCCCAATGTTAATAAGAAACCTACGCCTCTGGGTCCATGTGTCTTAAGCCATAAAACAGAAAGGCTCACTTGCCTGCTTTCTGTATTTCCACCCGTGTTTCACGTTGCTCCTGCTCTGTATAAACCACACACTTGTACACTCCTGCATCTGCAGTCCTCACTCCCTCAAGCAGCAGAGAGAAGTTGCCTTTGGGGATTTCCTGAGAGAAGAAGCGCGCTCTGCCCCTGTAGGCGTCCCCCTGTGATTCAGGTCTGCTCTGACCCTCCTGGAATAGGTGCACGATGGTGTCTGAATCAGTCCTTCTCCAGTCCACCTCCAGCTCCTCCAAAGGCAGGGGTCTGTCCACAAAGCAGGGCAGCAGTACAGCTCCTCCTAGCCGGGCTGTTAGAGGACCAGCAGAGCCGTGTAGCAGGAAACCTACCACAGGGATAAGAGAGATAAAATCTCTGTATGACAACAAAGCATTAAATAATAAGCGTAAAACATCCATTGCAACACAGTTACTTGAATATTTGGTAAGAAAATATTGGTAGATTAATTAATACACCCAAAACAAGAACAACTCAATTACATTTCTTCAACATTATTATACGAGTTATCAGACACATAAAACTGTCTTCAAAATGTACATACCATCAGAGTTAATGACGAACTTGAACACGATCAAAATAGCGCTGAAAGTATTGATCTGCATCGCCACCTTAAGTCTTGTACAAAGAACTGTTTCTATAAGACAAGGACAAATTTTGCTGTATATTTTCGTTTTTACAAACAGACTATATCCGCTTTTATTAACGCTGTTATCTTCCTACATGAAATGCCATCTGGCCATAGTTTTACTTTCAGTTTACACCTGGAGCTGAAACACGCCCAACACACCTGAATTACAGCAAAGGGTGGATCACATGGCTGTGTTTCCCTGATCAAATGCAAATCGCTTAAGTCATGGTTAAGGGCTGATTCTTACAGTAACTTAAATGAAAACCATGTTATGACACGCACAAAAATATACAACAACAAGGGGGTATAGAAAACGGGCTTAGTGACGGATCCCTAATTAATACACAGGAAATATGCCAATGTTAAATTAACACTGCATGGTGTCTATATCCTCCTGAGACCCCACCCATTCATTTATGTCCATGGTAGTGCACATTTTGTTTTTGCATCTATCTTTTCACTAATGTAAGGAAACTTATTTATTCCTGTTGTACACAAAAGGGGAAATAAAATAAAAATAAATTTGAAAAAATCTAAATTGTAAGATGTCTTATTTCCTCCAAAGACAAAAATTGAAGGACACTTTTTTCCTTGGGTCTCAGGAGGATATGGGTCCACACCTTTCAGTGTTACCTTTAACACTTTACAGTGTGCAGTGAGTGTTCTTTTTACAGTATTAATCTTTATTAACTGTAATAGTGTTCAATTTACACCATAGGGTAAATCAATGAGTCTCCACCTCCACATATCTGNTTCAATTTACACCATAGGGTAAATCAATGAGTCTCCACCTCCACATATCTGCCCCATTTTAATATGCGCACAAGTCATGAGGATCAGAAGAGCCGTCCCAGATTTACCCACGATCATGAGAAAGACTCTGACCAAAAAGGACCTTAAAACTTTTTCTTATTTTATATAGAAGCTTTGCTGGCTCGTTTCTGACTGTTGTTGGAGATTAGCAAGCTATGCTCTTGATGGCTTTTTCCTCTCCAGATGTGTGTTTTTGTAACATGTTAACATCAAGGCTGAAGAAGAACTCTTGTAGCTGTATTGGGCACATCTCCTGAGTGGCATTTATTTTGTAAGAATATGGTTGTATTTGATGGCTGGTCCTGCCCTTGGATGATTAACATATGCGGAAAGGTGTCAGGACTGTTGTGATGCCCTTTTGGTGCAGTTCCTGGTACCGCCCACTCCCCTGTAGACCAATGGTGTTGGATGTGTATTTGCATAGCATGATACGGTACTGTCTTTGACTTGAGTGTTTGAGTTTTGGCTTTTGTGCATCTAGGCTAAATGGTTTAGCTTCTATGGCTTATCTAGAGAAGGCATGTTACTATGAAAAACCAGTTATTTTATTTCTCTTCTAAGTATAGGCTTTCTAGAAAGGACATATGTACCTCTACAGCTGAGGATTCTGTGGGGATGCAAATAGACAAGAACTACACTACGCAGACAAACAAAGATATACAGGCAACCCAGAAGAACTGATAACAGAAATGTTCTAAAGACTAATATCAGTGCCATACCATCCTCAATCGTGGTGGGTTTCTAAAAATTAAGCTTAATGAAAATCTGAATATTAAATGAGCAAAGTGATTTGATTTGTTCTTCTATCCCAAGTTGTGGTCTAAACGCAATTAGGCCACCACACATTATATATGCTTTAGCAGAAATACACTCCTTCAAACATTAAGATGCTCTCACCTTTTCTCAGCCCATTTATACCAGAGAAAGTTCTCAAGAAAGCTGGTTTTTTCTTACCATAACTGTAAACACCTTATTGATGCTTGAATAAATACATTTATAACAACAACTTTTTATGCCCTCTAACTTACATGAACACAGTTCTTTGGGTATAAAAAACTGAACTGAAATAAAAATTGCATCAAAAGAGAAAAGGCTATGTTGGTCAGAGTCTTTCTCATGATGGTGGGTAAATCTGGGCTGGCTCATCTGATCCTCCTGACTTGTGCAGATATTAAAATGGGGCAGATGTTTGGAGGTGGAGACTCATTGAGAACATAAGAACTATACAAATGAGAGGAGGCCATTCGGCCCATCGAGCTCGCTTGGGGAGAACATAACTAATAGCTCAGAGTTGTTAAAATCTTATTTAGCTCTTGCAGACAGACAGACATACAAGCAGACA